TCATTATGGATTTATTACTTACGTATTCATCTAACATCTTCTCGAATTTTCTTGACAAGTTCAATTTATCAAGGTCCTATAAAATAAAGTTCTTCTACCCTTTCAAATGCCCCTGTACTGAGGGGGACATCAAAAAGCCACCTGGACTACTTACATTGCCTCCAAGGATTTATTGACTATCATTAAGATACTTCAGGTTAAAGATTAGCTTGGAGCCAATTAACTGGTGGTTTCCACCAAAAACCTTGAGGTCCGGATAGGTCTTATAGCCTGGAATTTTTTCCTAAATCTAAGGCCAGTCAGGAGAAGCAACTTTAGTGTTTCCTTGAGATTGGAGCTTTCCCTAACTAGCAGCCAGTTTTTTATATGTTAGCTGCTGTCAGAAACAGGAGAATAAAACGAATCTATGTTCTCAATGAGCAAAAGACATCAAACATAGTCAGGAAGCTCTACCCAAAAGAAACCTCCAATCTCTCAACCCTGGGTTTCTCCTCTGGCAATGAGGGAACTGATAGACGTTCCCCTGTGTTGCAGTTTACAAAATACGTTCATACTTTTTTCTTAATTGTTCTCTATGTTATCTTGCAAGGTAGGGATTTCACTCATAAGGAAATAGACTAAAATGTTAAGCTACTAAAATGAGGTTCAACAGACGGTGGGGCCATGGACTTGAACTAGGCAGGACCATCTCCAAATCTCCCACCATGATGCAAAAGGCAATTACCATCCTATAGTAATCACCAGCATTCTGTGATTAGGAGCATTATGTAAAGTCTTTCCTGCACGTACTTACTATTATAAATGTAAATCAGGCAAAAGCAATTGTCATTCAAAAGAGTTCATTAATCTGTGGTGAACTACAAGAAAATAATCCAGACATGTCTCTTCAAAGTCAAAACTCATGTGATCAAATGAAAGTTCTAGAGCATTCTCTGCTTTCCATATATATGTATTGATGGTGTTACATGTCTGCAAGTTAATAAAAGAAAGTCTTTCTTTGAAACAGTCCATCTTAACAACTGCTGTGAAATCAGCTTGCTATGATATTTAATGAAAAATTATCTTTGTGGTTTGTTTGCCATTTTTGATATAATCTCAGTGTCTCCTAACTTACTATTTTTCTTACCTCTCTGGATAGATTCATATTTATCTGCGATGCTTATGGGTTCCCACACTTTCTGGAGGTTTCTGAGAAACGTGAAGGATACAGCAAAAGAGAATCAAGAAATCTTCCTACTGCAGCCTTTGAAGACTGCTACACAGTGGTGTAGGAAACAGGGGACTTCAGGGATTTGATGAGGGACCCTTCTATCACCCATACAGAGGTTTTTTTGTTTGTTTGTTTTTGTGGTACGCGGGCCTCTCACTGTTGTGGCCTCTCCCGTTGCGGAGCACAGGCTCCGGACGTGCAGGCTCCGCGGCATGTGGGATCTTCCTGGACCAGGGCACGAACCCGTGCCCCCTGCGTCGGCAGGCGGACTCTCAACCACTGCACCACCAGGGAAGCCCATACAGAGGTTTTACCCTGCTCACTATTGCAAAGCCTGTCTTCATTTTTGTCATCCTCCCTGCACTTAAGTGGCAGAAGGGCAGCGTCCTCTTCTCCCTTGCTTCTACAGGCTCCGGGTCTGTTGGTGCACAGCAGCATCAGTGGCAGCAACAAAGTCTAGATGCTTCTCTGCCCAGGAACAGCTCTGGCACTAAGCCAGAGGGCCATCTTCTCTGTGGGAAGGGATATGGGAGTAAGGGTGAGCACGAAAAGTGAGGTCAGCTTTCAGAGCAGTCACCCATCTCTGCTGAGCTGGCCAGACTGTGAACTGCAGAATATTTACTGCCGGGAGATGTCCGTAACAGGAGCCATTCAGTCTAGCCAGACCCAGAGCCCCCCCTCTTGGGCATCAGGAAGACATAGTCATGACACGGGGACACTGGTTCACAGCCAGGCACCAAATCTCTTGATCCCAGAGAGATTTCCTCTGATCCCTTTAACTACTGCTCAGGGGAAATGCAGAAATTAGCCTGTTCTGAGTTGGAAAGAAGCAATCCAATTTACCCAGGGCAATCTCAGGTTGGTGGCTTACGGGAATCACCTTTGTATCCGGCTTCGGCTGGTGGCGCAGTGGTTAAGAATCTGCCTGCCAATGCAGGGGACACGGGTTTGAGCCCTGGCCCAGGAAGATCCCACCTGCCGCAGAGCAACTAAGCCCGTGCGCCACAACTACTGAGCCTGAGCTCTAGAGCCCGCGAGCCACAACTACTGAGCCCGCGCACCACAACTACCGAAGCCTGAGTGCCTAGAACCCGTGCTCCGCAACAAGAGAAGCCACCGCGGTGAGAAGCCCACGCACCTCAACGAAGAGTAGCCCCCGCTCACCGCAACTAGAGAAAGCCCTCGCGCAGCAACCAAGACCCAACGCAGCCAAAAATTAAATAAATAAATTTACAAAAAAAACCACAACGCACCCTTCCCCTGCTTCCTACCCTAAGGGCCACAGGACAGGAGCCTGGGATTCCAGACCATGGCAGCAGCCCCGACCAACACATAGCATAGTGTCTGGCGTTTGGTAGAGCTTAATAAACGTTTGTTATTGTACAGGAAATTCTTTTTCATCTGAGGTAGGGGGAAAAAAGGAGGAGCAGAAAGAATTATTGCACACATTTTTTAAATGTACCAATACTCCCTAATCTTCCTTTTAAGCTCCATCTTCAGCTCTCCCCCTTACAGAAACTTTCCCCACACTCTGAATACTTTATATGAAAGCACCAGTTCCACGCTCTTCTGTCCTCACTCATCGGTGCTGTGCAGCAGCTGAATCCTCTAACTAGCACCTGATACACGTTACAGGGGCTCTAGGGCGGCGGAAGGTGAGATGTGAGTTGTCTGTGTAACATGAGTATGCGGCTAGCACAGCCCAGGATGTGTAGAAAATATGACCTGGGTAGAAGGATGTGCACCAGAGCATTTTATTTACAGTAGCAAAAACCTAAACTCTAATAATTGATGCTTGGTTATATAAATTAGGGCATACTCATATAATGGGTAGTATTTAGATAATGGAATACTAGGCTACCATTAAAGATCATGTTTTAGAAAAGTAGATAATGGGATGGGAAAATGCCCCTAGTATATTAAGTGAAAAGCAGATCAGAGAATTGAACATAATCACAATTTTAGAAACTGCATGTGTAGAAAATCCTGGGAGGAAGTACACCCAAATGTTAGGTAGTCTATTTCTGGGTGATGTTGATTTTTAAAGCCCTACTTAAACTGTTTCATATTTTTTAAATTTTATTTTACAACAGACATGTATTCTTTTTTTATAATTTTCAGAATTGTCTATTTTTAAACTACAAACCAAAAAAAAACCCATATTATTCAGCAACGGAAAGCAGCTATTCTGTTCCTGCCCTAGATGGTTATGTTCAAGCCTTAGACTATGAAGCCCCAACCAGGGTGCAAGTGGTTCCTCATTATATTTATATCTACAACCCAGAAAATTCTGTCCAAAGGTGAAGTGGCAGCCAGGCGCCCACAAGTCAAAAGAGGAGTCCTCTCCCTCGGTATACCATATGGTTTCTGAAAAGAAACCATATCTGGAAGAGATGCTGACCAGAGATTGCTCTGGAGTAAGCTAAGAAAGTTGGAAGCAGCTGTGGCGGGGAGAGCCGTTCTCCTGGGCAGGGGAGAGCTGGTGTTGGTCTGGCACCGTCTCTGTGGCCACAGGTAATTATTCCATTTCTCTAAGCATGCTGATCCCCACCTGTAAAAGAAAGATCTAACATCTGCCCTGCCGACCTCACAGGCCTACTGGGGGGTTAAACAAAATGATGTGTGCTCTATATTTTATAAACCAAAATCCAGGCAATGAAAAGTTTGGTAGCCCAAGAACGCTAACTTCTTAAGGTAATGATCCACGCTCCCCACTTTCTTTCAAGATATCAAGAGAAACAATCTATATTCCCTTCTACACTCTAGGAATTGCACCAGAAATTTTATCAGCCACATTTATAACTCAAGTTATGTTTCCCGGTACCCTTGCCCCATGAAACAGAAACTATGCTATGTGTTCACTCAGCGTGTTCCTTTTTTCTCCTGGGCATATGGACAGATCGGCCTGCCCAGGCTCCCCCTGAGAGAAGGTGAGACCAGGAGACTGAATTCTTGCCCCTTCCAGGCTGGGTCCCCACATGTCCCTGTGAGATCCTCCACCCTCTCTCTTCCTCCAGTTCCTGGCTGGTTGTACAAGGTCTGGTGGAAGACTCTGAGGCCTCTGGAAAAGGGTGACGTGCTAGATGAAGGAGGCTGGGTCCCGATATCAGAGTGGAAGGTCACCCACCAAACACCCCATACGACAGGGACACAAGCGAGAAACAACTCGAGACCGCTTGCCGCCCCAATTACCTACCCCAGCTAATACACTCTACGACCTTGGTCCCCTCTCCACCCCAGAGCGACAGTCAACACTTCCTGCTGCTTCCCACATGAGTGACTCAAGGGACACAGAGAACACGTATGGTAAAGCCAACCCTCTTCCAACAGAAAACTCACACGAGCAAAATTAAGACAAATATTTTAGATTCCTTGGCAGACTTAAGACCTGCTCTCTTATTTCTATAGGGAAACTTGAGAGTACATGCTAACTTAAATAACTGAGAAGAGAAAATAAGAAAAGGGGAACACGCGGTTGGTTACCTAATCCCACAGTATTTAAGGTGGGGTGCAAATAGAAAAGGGTTAAGGTCTCTCAAGTTGGGAGAGATTAGGAAGGGTGTCGACCTCTCCTTCAGAGGGTAGAGACGATGGAAACAGAGTGCTATCTTGGATCACTCGTTCCTCATATATTTTATCTCCATTTAGCATTGTTCAGCAGGGCTACATGGAAACATTAGGCTCTGAGTTGGGGAGTTCCCAGGAGGACAAAGTAGAGACAGGAAGTGTTGCCCACTTCTCTGCTTTAACTGTAGCCAGCCCTGCCCTTTCTTGCTCGGAGACTACTTACCTGGTAGGGGTAGAGGGTGACCCCGTTGGTTCTCGACAGGGACCAGGTGCCATCCAGGTACTGGTGAGCCTGGATGGCCACTGAGTTGAGGATATTCCCATTGCTGGGGCTGGTGGCCATCTGGAGGCTGACCTTGGCCTGGTGGGTTGGAGACCCACTCTTCTTCTCCACCCCATTGCTGACCCCGAGGCTGTTGGGTTTGCTGCTATGCTTATTGGTGATGAGGGCTGTGTAGTTGGAGGAGGCATAGGAGGTGGGCACAAAGGCCCAGTCCCTGGGCTGCTGGAGCCCCCCCACGTGCCGGGACCCCACCGGAGTGGGGATGTTGGAAAGGGCTGGGGGCGAGCCAGGTGAGCCATCGAAGTGCTCACTGCCAGCCGCCTGTTCCAGGGTCAGCACCATCTGAATGGCCTCCTGCTTCAGCTGGTTCAAGTGTGTGGCACAAATGTCACAGCGGTTGTCCCTGTCATTCCATGCCTTCCGGATGGTGTTGGGGACCTGGAGCTTGTCGTGAATCACAGCCGAGAAAGCAGCGTCCTGGAGAACACACAGACAAAAAAATAAGGAGAGTCTATCAATCAAGGCTGGTAAGCGCAATTCAGATGCCTGGTTTCTGAGTTAAGCCCTAGATGTACCCAAAGAGTTTGACTGTTTGACTGACATCCAGCAGAAATGAGCGGCCAGATTGGCAGACGAGCCCCTAGTTGACAAACACATTTGACAAATGTAAGAAGTTTTGTTTTGTTTTTTTGCGGTACGCGGGCCTCTCGCCGTTGTGGCCTCTCCCGCTGCGGAGCACAGGCTCCGGACGCGCAGGCTCAGCGGCCATGGCTCACAGGCCCAGCCGCCCCGCGGCATGTGGGATCCTCCTGGACCGGGTCACGAACCCGTGTCCCCTGCATCAGCAGGCGGACTCTCAACCACTGCGCCACCAGGGAAGCCCAACAAATGTAAGATTTTTATAGTGGAGACTTTAAGGAATTAAAAAAAAAAAAAAAAGCTTTCTGAGCATCCTCCTTACCAGGCCAGTCAAACAAGAACATTCCAGATTCTTCCCCTTGTGTCCACTAAAGAATCATAGCTATACCTGGATGCTCCCAAGGTGGTCATTAAGTAGACACAAATGGTCATCCGGGCCTGGCAGGGGTGAGTGCAGTCACTCTGGACCAATGCATTGTGGGCCCCCGTGAACTATGGAAAGTTGGCAGCAGGTGGAGGTACTACTTGTGACCCAGAACAGAGATTCTATTCTAAGAAAATCCTAGCCTCATTAACACCGTGTGCTAAGTGCCACTGGAAGAAAACCAAACTAAACAGATTCTGGACCAGAGATCTAGCCTCTCCAGCAGCCCAGCAAACCCCTACAGATTCACTGTGTTTACCATTGGCCCCATGGCAGGCTGGCCATGCCTGTACCCATGTGTCTGATATCCTGATCCATCAAAAGAAAAATGTCTCCTTGATAAACAGTCCAAGATACTTTTCCCCAGAAACTTCATCTAAAACTATTAAAAACTCTTTCGTTCAGAAGCCCTTATCTAAAAGAAATCAGAAAGTGAATTTAATGAGGATGATTTCTTTCATTTACTTTGCTTTAATTTTTATAGGAAAGCAAGACTGCACAGAGAAATAAGCAGTAGGTGTGTTAACTGGGTATCAAAATATTTGGCTTCTAGTTCTGGTTCTGCTACCAATTAGCTACGTGACCTTGGACGACTTACCTAGCCTCACTGAACCTCTCATCTGTCACGCAAGGCCGTGGCCTGTCTTTATTGTAAGGTCCTTCCAACTCCATGACTCTGTGTAGGGAAATGGAGACAGGAGAGGACAGTGTCTGCATATATGGACGGAGCCACTATGCTATTTTGGGGACCTGGTTGAACTTCTGAGATTCCACAATTGCTGCAGGTAATTGATGAGGGTTATCTCAAGGCCTGTTTTCCTTAGGACATTGGAAGAAAAGCTTCCCTTCCGAAATGTGCTGGAGCTTTTTTGGGGTGGAAACCCCATCAGGGCTGACTGGAGTTTGATGAGCTGTGGGTGGGAAGGGAGATCAGCAGTGGGAGGGTCACCCTTAATTACGATCCATCTTGATTATTGGCTCCAGCATTTTGTTTTCCCTGTTTAACTACCCTGAACAGCTCTTCAGCATGCACTGATTGATTGATTAATAAATCAAGAGGCCTCTTTACACAGCAGCAGCGAGGAGTGACTCAGGAGGTGGAAACTCAAGACGGTCATAGAAAATGATGGGGAACCATAGGAGGTCAAGGGTGATCAAGTCTCGCTGACGAAGCGATGCAAACCACGTGACACCTGCTTGCGGTGCCCTCCTCAATGAGAGCTGCTTCGTCCAGAGTCCCTGATCAAAACTCAGCATGTGTGGGACCCAAAAGGGCCCATTAGGGACCATTACCTCAGTTTCCAGATAAGGAAACAGCTCCAAAAGTGTTAAAAGCTCGGACTACAACCAAATTTCTTGACCTCTAGTCCATGATTTTCCACTTCAAGAGACAAAGAGCCATATTCATCAATGGACTCATAATTTTGCCCAGACTTAAGGCTTTTCCCACATTCATCTATAAAATGTTCATTTATTTAAAAGGAAGTATTTGGGCCCCCATATGTGTCAAGATATAGACTCTTGCTTTTTCACATAATGAGAATTTTCCCTTGTCAATATATGTCATTTGAAAATGTGATTTTTTTTTAATGACCACATGGTATTTTATCCTGTAGCTGTTTTGTAAGTCATTTTTTTATTCCCAGGTCTACTACATAATTAGAGGCAGCATGAGAGATCAGAGACTGGCATTCAAAAGCAATCTGCCACCCACGGCTTATGCTTTTAAGGCACCAAACTATTTGGTCTCAAGAAACCTCAAATTAATCGCTTACTCCCAATCACCAAGAGGAAGCATCACAGTAAAAAAGGCAGCAATAAGATCAGTCCCATCCACACATCATAGTTTATTTTAGATCCTTGTAGAATCTAGATGTGACCCTGACATCTGCAGCTGGAGCAGAAAAGATACATCCACTCCAGAAGAACAGCCTGGTGCTGGGGACTCCTTTTCTCGCTTCTTCTTGGTTTTCACTGCTCTCCCTTGAAGCAGTTCCTTCCTCACTCAGCCTACTGCTATTTGCTGCTCGACTTGCCACAAGCCATGCATGTTGGCCTCCAATGTGCCAAGCCGCAGATCCTGGGATGCACGAGAGCAGTTCCTGTTCTCTCTGAGTTCACCCTCCAGGGAACCCACTTGGCTCCTGGATTGCCAAACGCCATGCCCCCTTGTTGCCACCTCTAGCCTGGGACCAATCGGCACACACTCAGACCCATGGAGCCCAGCGCTCCCCTCCCGGTTCCCGAGGGGTCTACAAAATCACCTTGAGCGCCGGAGCTGAGCCCGCCACCAGGACGGCCCCCCCGACAGCCAGCACGTGGCAGAGCCCAGAACCCACTGTTGTCTCATCCAGAGGAAGGAGGAGATGAATGCTTTCATGAGTCTTCAATTGCTGACAGATGTCAAAGAGGTGTTCCCTAAATTAAGCCACCCTTGATCTGAAACTTTTTGTGAGTTCTTATCATCAAAAGGCCTCAGTCAGTCAAAAGATACACCTTATGGAAACTAAAATCCCTTTCAAGTGCTGGTCTACACACTATAAATATTTCAGTGCAACTCAAAACTTCGAAGAGGAATGGTCAACACACATAGCTTCCTGTAAGTGCTGAAACAAAGGGAATACTGCTTCAAGGGAGAGTAGTAATAAACAGGGAGAAAAGAAGGTTTCAGAATCATGGATGGCTCACACTTACTGAGCTTTTCTGACATGGACCAAAGAAGAACTGTGGGAGTGCCCTCTCGTTTAGCTGGCACCAAAAGAAACCTGCACTCAGAGAAGGAATGAGTTAAGTGTGCAGTCTGGCATGCTACCTAGTGCATGGGCTTCAAACACATTCATATTGTCTATCCCGATTCATCTCGTGACTTCAGAAAATAGTCAAATGGGAATAACGGGAATCCATGAACGGCTAAACCTCGATTTTTGGAGTCATAATTTTTATCTCAGCACCTTTGAAAATGGGCTAACAGCACTTGGGCAACGTTTTCATCCTAAACTTTCAATATAAGTGTTCTGTGCCCAAAAGGTTCTCATCTTTCAAAAATAATACAAAATTGTTATTATCCCACGTGTACCATGAAGAGGAATTCAAGAAAACTCTTAGGAAACGGATAAAGGTTCTTAGAAGGAAGGTTAGGGATAAATGAAGTTAATGTGCAGACACCTAAATCTGCCCACTTAGTGACTGCTACAAAAGAACAAAGAAAACTCCAGAAAATGGTTTTCCAATCCCTTTACTGCTCTTCCACTTCTTCTAGGGGCATTTCAGGAACCAGGTGTCCTGCCATGTTCCCTAGGGCTCTCGTAATCTAATGGCTCTCAAAGATTGACTCACATGTCTTCTGGCACACTGCTCTAAGAGATCATGACTAAATCTCTCTTCCTCAGGCAAGGGCAACCGAACCCACGGCTTCCATAGCCATCTGTATCCCGGTGACTGGGAATTCTCCATCTCCATCCATGCCTGGCCCTTCTCCTGAACTCTGAGCCTTACCGCCCCCTAGAAAACATCATCCAGATAAATACTCTTCAAACTGACAATTCAAAATTAATTTTATTTTCCCCTGATCCTATTCTTATTCCAATAGTCACTATCAAAGTAAACAGTATTATTATCCACTCAGGCACCCAGGCTAGAAGTCTAGAACCTTCCTCGTCTCCTCCCTTGCCCTCCAATCCAATCACCAAGTGTGGTTGATGGTCCTTCCTAAAAGCTCTTGAATTGTCCCTCTTCTCCATGCCCACTGCCATGAGAAAGCTTTCAGCATTTCTCACATCATCATGGTTTCCCTGATTCTAGCCTTGACCTCAAAACCCTCCCTCCACAAAAAAAAAAGGATTTAACTAAAATGCACGTCTGATCATGTCATTATCCTGCTTTCCTGCACCTCTATTCTAAGAGCGATCTTCTTGTCTGTAGTCTTTATTTGTAGAGCTATTTGTCTATTAGACTGTCAGCTCCCTAAGAGGAAATATTCTGTTCATCTTTAATTGCCCCAAGTCTAGAATAGTGTCTACTTCATAGTAAGGGCCCAACAAATATTTGTGAGATAAAAACTGGAAAGAATTCAACCAAAGCTGAAACAGTCGATAATGAAGTTGGTTTTGGTCCATCTGTCACTTATTTTGTCTAAGTGAGCTAGTCGCTTCTTAGGAAATTGTCATGAAATAAACTCCTTCAACTCTAGGGTTAATATAGTTTTCCAATTGTATTTGTTCTGCCTGGCTAAAGAGCCTAATGTGAGTCAACCATAATCTGGATATCCTCCTTTTATTTGAATCTTCCTTAAACTATTAAAATACATTCTCGGGCTTCCCTGGTGGCGCAGTGGTTGCGAGTCCGCCTGCCGATGCAGGGGACACGGGTTCGTGACCCGGTCCGGGAAGATCCCACGTGCCGCGGAGCGGCTGGG